CCTATCTAATTCTCCACTTCTTTGTCTATTAAAGAGGAGCAGCAGTACCTATTTCACTGGGTTTTTGAAAGGATAAAATGATAATATATGCAAAGCACTTAGAACAGTGTCTGAAACACAGGAAGCACCCAATAATTGTCATTATTACTATTATTACTCAACAGGGAATGATCAACCTACTTATACCTTTTATCTGTGATTCAGTACACATTACACCATCACAGCAGACAATACTGTAATAGAGAAACGTGCCTGGGAGATACTGAAGGGTGTAAGCTTTCCTCCCACTCTTGGTGTCCTAGTCTACTTTCTATTTGGCAAGTTTCTGTCTTTCCCTTACTAATCACTTAGTACCACTCAGCAGCATCTAAGCGATCCAAGCTTGCTAAATCACTAAGCTTAACTTTACACACATTGCTAAATGAACAAACTCTGCCCTTTGGGGCAGCTATTCACTCACTGTCTGGATTTACTTTTCACTTATTTTCAGATTTTCCTGTTTGGGATGTCTCAAGTCACTAGAGAGACACACCTGTGTCAAACAAGTAAAAGGCTAACTGTTAATTGTTGGATATTGTACAAGTAAATAAGTTGGCAAAGCTTTTTCACAAAACATGCCTGTATTAAAACTTTGTGTACACAAAACCAATAAATATTTGCCTATGGATGGGCATATACATGTCTATATGTACTTTATCATATATATGAATAAGTCTGATTATATTTTACATGAAAGCATAAAAATCTTATGTAACATATTAAGAAGCCAAGCAAATTTAATCCTACAGATATTGACATGAACTAGGAAAGTAATAGAAGTATAAAAGGATTTGCATAAAGTAGAATAGAGCTAAAAATATGTCCATCCAAAGGTCTAAAAACCTAAGTTGACAAACCAAAATAAAATTTTATGTGAACTATATAACACAAGTAGCTATTATATTATACTGGATCAAACTTTCATCTTAATCCAATGAATATATAACATTACTAAGAATCACATTCTAGAACAGTATAAATGTATAACTTGAACATCAGCAAACTTAAAAACAACGATTCCTTTAGAATTTCCTTTTTCTTCAGAGAGGGTAGGGCCTCAGATCTAATTAAGAACTAAAACAGTAAAGGATAAAGCCATTTTTGTGTGGAAGAGAAACATTTCACCAGATGGTTAAATAAAGGTGCAAAGCACAGGCCACTCAGACGGGGAGCAGGGGCTGTTGCCTCTCCTTCCTTTGTCAAACTTCCCTCCTCTGCCACCCATTTCACCCCATCCCATAGTGTAAAAACCTTCACAGGACATTCACTGAAATTTTATGCTGTTAATTCATTCCTCTCTATCTACTTCACAGCTGGTCATTAAGACTTATTAATCGATGATCTATAATTGAAGATAGAATAAAATTTGAATTTTCAGCATCATATGACACATACCATGATACTCTAATTATTTGAGGACTAGACATGACAAATTCCTGTCTTCTAAGTCTGTTTACACAAGGTCCCTGACTTTGCCAGTGAGAATTAATTCTTTCTGGTGCTTAGCCCTTAGTTCAGCTCTTCTCACCACCTTACTTGCGCTAAGCAATTATTTACGTATCTTGTCAATCTCTCACCTTCATTAGACTTTGAGATTTTTAATATTGAAATTGTGGATTTATAAACTATGATAGTTATTAAACTATGATCTACTATTTCCTGAGTGCGTACTAAGGATCAGGCACTGCAGTAAGCCCTTTATGTGCATTATTTCATTCTATCCATATTAAAAAGTCTCTGTTTTACAGATGAGGAAATTGAGGCATAGAAAGATTAAGACAACTTTCCAAATGGTGCCAGGATCCCTGTAAACTTCTGGGACTCCAAAGTCCATGCTCTTAAACCACTCTACTACTTACTTTTCAATAATCAATGCTTTTTAAATAGTAAGTAATCAACAAGTAAATTTATTTCATTCAATGTGTTGCATATCTGCTTAGTGTTTTACATGGTACTTGCTATCTCATACATCCAAAATCAACCTGAGTGTGTCTGCCCATTTGACAGAGCAGAGTAATTCTGCCCATTTGACAGATCGGACAACTAGTCAAAGGATCATGAGGTGTCTTCTTACAGTCCCTCCCTAGCTTGTGCCAGGGATGGGACTGCTGGACTCCTGGGCCTCTATATAAAACCCTGCGCCTCAGCTCACAAGGAAGTTGTGAACAGACTGCAGTTTTCCTGATATTTAAAGATAACTTTAGAAATACGAGAACTGAAAGTGAAAACTCTCAAGAGCAAGCATCTGGAGTGAAAAGAATTGTTTAATTATATAATACATAATATTCAAATAAATTTTAATAGTTAAAATCTATGCCAAATAAATATATCTGATTTTCAAGTACAAACTCAGGAAACATCCATCAGTAAAAGTAGTGTCCTGAATTTGTAAATTTGGAACTTTTATACTAACTCTATCTTTTGGGTAAGAAAGAATAATTTAGCACGATACCCCCACGGATGCACACAGACGTGGGCGCTCTTACACAGGCTGCCACCAACAGGTTAACGTTTTCAAACTTTCACTTAAAAAGTAATATGGTGTTGCTCCTTTTGGTTTACTGCCACAAAATTTAAGATGCTTATAACATGCCAAAGGCAAATTCAGGAACCATATTCTTCTGTCAACAGAAGTGACTTACAAAACCTACCTTGTGTGGTAAAGATAAGCGGTGTACTCCAGTCACTCCAGATTCCTGGGCCATCCAGTCTCTTGCCCCTCACCTGAACCTCATAGGAAGACCCAGGGAGCACACTGTCTACTAGCAGAGAAGCAGCTGAGACAATCTCATCAGCCTGTTAAATACCATTTGAAAACATCAGCACATCAGATCAATGTGAAACCTTAACCAAAATTGATTGCAAGCAGGTCTCAACTAATTACAAAGAATTAAAATCTTACAGAGTAGCCAGCTGGCCCATCGTGGAATTACACAGAGCTCAATAACCCAACAACAAATGTTTGGTTGACATCAGTCAATAAAACTTTAAATTGCCTGTGAGTCCAAGGAAAAAAGTCACAATGATAATCAACGCATATTTTTAACTGAATGATAACGAATATTGACGTGTCAGGATCTGAGAAGGACAGCTAACGTCAGTGGGAAGCTTCAAGCCACTGCTGACAGCTATCACACACACGGTAGAATGTACAGAGAACTATAAATGTTCCTGGAGGAAAGCATCATGAAGCAGGGCATGAATAATTTTAAGGACCCAAGTCTGATGATAAACTACAGTGAATCAAAATACAGTTTATAAGCTAGAGGGAAAATATCTCAGAGACCTCTCTGCGTAAAACAAGCAGTGATGTGCCCCGAAGCTACTGAACTTCCTGGCTCATTAGACTGTGGGGTGCTACAGGCTAGAAGCAGTGAAAAGCACTAGGAATGCATTATACACTATCAGGTCACCTAGATTTCAAATCCTACCATCTCCATTTACCGTTGAGAAAGCTGAAGCCCTGAGAAGCCTTAATGGCTTATTCCACACATGACACTGGATTCCCATTCTGCTCTTTATGAATATAAAGTCTTCAAAAATTAGCCCAGATCCAAAAGAACAGGTTTTTTTTCCCCCTTGAATTACATAACAGTTAGTTTCACAAGTTAAAGTGCCAAAGTCTTTCATGGCCCACAGGGCTCTTTGTGAGCGCCTCCTTCCCCCGCCCCTCTCTGACCAACCGCTCACTACCCCGGCCTCCAGCTGCTCACCCAGCTTAAGGCTTCCGAATTGCTGTTTTCTCTACTTACAACCCAGTTCCCCCAGGTATCTACATCACCACCTCCTTCAAATCCTTGCTCAGATGTCACCTTCTCCATCTCTTCCCTGGCCTCCATTTAATATTACAGTCCACCATCTCCCACTCACATTCCTAAACCCCTTATCCTGTTCTACTATCCCAATATATCCTGAGCTGTTGGCACCCAGTAGGTGCTCAGTACTAACTGAAAGAATGAAAAAGGATTTGACACACTATACAGTACAAATGCATGCACTTGCATGTAAACAAATATATTGAGTAGTAAGAAAAAAGTAAGGATGGCACGTAAAATCAGAAACCAGAGAAGGTCTTTATGTGAAAACTTTATAATGATCAATTCCATAATTCTGTGTCTGGACTTCCAGTAGCCATTTAGTTGTGTGTGTGTGTGTGTGTGTGTGTGTGTCTGTAAGTGAGGGGGGAGAGAGGGAGGGAGGGAGGCAGAAGGAGAGAAAGAGAGAGAGAGTTTAACCTAAAATACATAAACTTTGGAAGAGGAACTTTTCCTGGCACTAACTTCTGGGAGGAATTTGTCATGCTCCTCAACATACAACATGGATCCACATTTAAGAGACAGTGAGTAATATCAGACAATTTTTCTAAAATCATTTTACAGAAGATCCAGAAATGCTATATTATGCTCATTTCCTATGCTGATCTTAAATGAAAGCCAGTGGCATAATATTAAATTATGACTGATTCAGCACTAGAAGTAGCAGGAACCCTTGGTGTCCCAAGGGCATTTTCTATGGGACCTGGGGTGGGGGGTGGTCCTCACTTTCTCTTTAATTGCTTCTCAACTTTTCATTTCATTTATCAAACTATACTTACTTTTCTCGTATTTGTTGTAGAATTCTCTGAATATTTCACTTGATACTGAAGTTGAAATGGTACTGATACTGGACTGGACCAAGAAATCTTTAAATCACCAGTGTCCGTGATTTCCATATGCAAACCTGATGGTGGATCAGGCTTCACTTAAGAAAAAAAGAGAACACTTTAAAGTCAAGTGATTTTCATGATAGCCTTTATTTATTGTCTGCTTTTTCATTTTTGTTTTGTGGAGAGGTAGTTAGGTTTATTTATTGACTTATTTCAACAGAAGTACTGGGGATTGAACCCAGGACCTCCTGCATGCTAACCATGCACTCTACCACTGAGCTAGACCACCCTCCCCCTTCCATGATAGTCTAAATAAAGTCAAAATGAATTTTTAGCATATCCTATTCTTTCAACTGTCTAAAAAGTGTCCTTATTCAAAAGCTGATTACAGAAGCAAAATACTGGGTCCACTCCTGTACTTTACCATAGGAATCATTACCACCTTCTCCCCACATGGTAAAAACTATAAGTCAGTAAATGATGTTATTTCGATAAATATGAATTCCTGCTATAAAAAAGACAGCTTAACTTTATTCAACCTAGCATTTCCCAGACTTATTTGAAACCCACCCACTGTTTTCATGAGTACCAAGGAGAAAAAGTATTTTGCAGAGCACTACTTGGAAAATACATACAGATTTTGTATGCAAAAATCAGTAACATATGCATGGAAATTTATGTAAATATGCATGCAAATTCAGTAAATTCATTAATTTTGAAATAGAACAATCCAGACACATCCACATAGCATGCATGGTTTACATGCAGTAAACATAGCATCAGCAGGTCCTGGCTTGTCACCCGAAAGGGGTGGGGATGGAGTGTCTTATTTTAATGGGGCATTTAGCTCAGTATATAATTTCTGAGTTCACATGTATATGTGTGTTTTTATGTAGGCATATGCATTTGTGTGTATAAATATGTGGAAATGTGTATGCCTGTGGTTTTAAATATACAACATAACTTTAAAATTATTTGTAGAAACAATGTAAATATCTTCCAATAAAGAACTGATTGAATAAATAATGGTTCATCCCTTTAATGGAAATCTATACAACTATTAAAAATCATATTGGAGAAGAATATTGAACATGCTTAATATGGTTAATTTTAAAAGTTTATTAAGCATCTATCCTTGGATTCCTGATTTATTAAAATAAGCAAATGAAAGGATATGTGTAAATGTGTATTAAAATAGAAAAAAGCCAAAATAGTCGAAAATAAATGATGTATTTTTCTTCTTTGTCCATCTCTACATTTTCAAGATTTTTGCAATTAACAGGAACTACTCGTGTACATGGAAATCATCATTACACTGAACTATTTATTGATTTGTATTTCATTTTCAAGAAATAAAATGGCACATTCATATTTTTTACATCCCATATTTTCAAGAATTTGGATACAGTTTTTCTTTTCCTTGAGTCAAAATTAACGAAGGTTTTACATTATGTGGCATATGAAAAATTTTAGCTACTTTATGGCAGGGATAGCTAAAACTAAAGTCCAGAAACTACAGGTGAAATTCACTGAGTTCTTATAACCAAGAGGATAGAACACAAAACAAAGACACCAAACAAAAGTGAAATCATAAAATTATAAACTATTTCACATTTCCTATTTCCATACATATATGCCTTGATATCAGAAATCTAAAAATAACTCTTTCCCTGGACCCACTATGTATCCAGTCCCAGACCCCATCTACCTACTTCTTTCAGAGCAAAATTCCTCCTGGTGAGCTGGCACTGCTCACTTTCTCCACTTTGCATCCCACTTTCCTAACCAACCTATTCTGAGCAGGTCTTCCTTCTCGCCAGTTCACTGAAACTACTCTTACCAAGGTCACTACCCTTTGCCAAAACCAATGTCAATGGCCTGATTCACTTTACTCCAACTCCCAGCAGCACTCCCCACAGCTGCTCATTCTGGGAGTAGCTGAACTACTTTTCCCTCTTGGCTTCCAGGTCACCACGCTTTTAACTCCTCTTTTCTCTCTGATCGTCTCTCACTCTTTGTCTCACTGAACTCCAAATGTGTGATTTCATGCAATCCCATAACATCTATATACTAGAGACTCCCAAACATGTCTCCCCTGACTTCTAGGCTCATATATCCAACTCAGTATCTCCTGGGTTTCTAATAAGCATCTCAAACGTAACGTGTCACACACCTATTCCTCTCCAATTTCCCCTTCTCAGGATCTGGTACCACTATTCTGGTACCACTTAGGTCCAAGCCTAAGTGGTATCCTTGATTGCTCTCTGTCCTTCACACTCCACACCAGGATCATTAGAACATTCAGCCAGTACCATCTCCCAGATAGATCCCACGTCTGATTACTTCTTCACTTCTCCACTGCAATGACCCTAAGCCAACTGGACAACTCCAACAGCCTCTTACTGATACCTCTGCTTCCACTCTTGCAACTATCCTTCCTCCCTTCCCCATCAATTTCCTTCTTCACATGCAACATCAATTTTAAATATGCATGCGTGCACACACACACACACCTGATCATACCACTCTCCTGGTTTAAAAGCTTCCATTGCAATTAGAATAAAATTCAAACTCTGTAACCCTGGCCCATGGTTTGACCTGGACCCAGATAACTGTCTAACCACATCTCCGAATATGCACCTACCTCATTCATTCCAACCACAAGGGCCTTCTCTTTGGTTCTTTCACCTTCCAAGCTCATTCCATCCCAGGAATTTTGTGAGCACTATTCTTCCTGCCTGGGGCACCTTCTGCTCTGGATTTTTGCATAGTTATCTCTTTTCTATTCAGCTTAAATGCTATCTCTTAAAGGAGGACCACCACAGCTGAAATAATAGCCCCTACACCTAACACTCTCCATCACACAACCTGTCATTTCTTTCATGACACATATAATTTTTAGACATTATCATATATGACCAAATACAGGGAAATCCTTTTCCCTACGATTATCCCTGAAATAAGACAAAATTCCTTTTAAGGTTCTTATAAAAGTCTATCATAGCACCTTCTCTTAACTTTATTTTTAAAAACAATTCAATTCAATGCTGGCTCTAAAGGCTTCTAAAAACCACCTTTTGGACTGGTTTCAAAAAGAGAAGATGATGCTATTTTATAGATCTTGTAATTCTTCTCTGTGGTATAATGTCATGACTGACTTGCTTGGATATCACTGTAGTTATACTATGGAGGTCACAAATATATCCCCAGAAGACAAGTTATTTAAAAGTCCTAATGTTAAATATAACGTCATATACAGATTCAAAAAGTGCTATACCCCCAGGAACTTAGAAAGAACTGAAGGTGAAGTGGTGTGGGAAACCGTGTCAGATACGTGAAAAGGGGCTCTAGTGATGTCAAAAACCGTGAGGCAAAGATGCATGAAAAGAGTTTGCATATAACCGTTTCAAGAAATGTAAATGTAAAATAGTAACGCTGTGAAACTACACATCATGTGTAATGTATAATTTAACATGCATACACAAAACTGAGTTAATAAATTACATCCTTTAATTTAACATTCTCCTAGATTGTTCACATTTGTAATTATATATTTGAGTTGATCCAAGAAACTTTTGGCAAATCTTTGCATTAAAAATATGGGCCTTACCAATTATTGGAACTCTTCTCCTAATATAGATCTGTACAGCACCTTGTTCATTTACTTTTTTACTGTTTCCCTCTCCCTGCTCCTGTCTGTCCCTGCTCCGTGACGCAGGTCCTTTGTCTCATTCACCATTGTTTCCCCAGCTCTTAGATGGGTGGCTGACTCACATGAGCCTCTAAGAAATATTTATTGGGGTCATAAATTCAGGTAAAAACCAGCTTTTAATTATTTTCATAAATAGTTATCTGAGATATGAAAAAGTAATAACCAAGCAGTACATATCCATTACACCAATCCAGGATTTAAAGAAATCAAACTGCTTTCAAAAACAATTTAAATTATAATTGCAGAGATCTACTTACTGCTGTCAAATCATTTCAGAAGATAACTTAATATCCTCTAGAACTATACTTATCATGTTTACAGTGTTGGTCAAAGAGAGATAAGCTAGTGAAAAATTTTGTAAGCAATTTTCAACCTGCTCGTATGACTGCTGTTTGGATCGATTATCTTCCTTATGCAGAACTTACCGACATTTATGGGCTGAACTGACATTGGAGGTAAGTGAAAAGTTACTCCAGCAGATGTGATCTTCAAATACATAAGAAGGGTGTAATTGAGTTTGGCTGTTGGCACAGGCACGTGGCATTCACAACATTTGTGAACACTGCAGTTGCACTGAACAATCTGAAAACTGTCTTTCTGGGAGGGCCAAGGTGACTCTTCCAACACTTCAAGCCTATGTGAAAAAGAAGAGCTAAATGTTAACACAGATGTGAACGTACTGGATATACTTAAAATGTAGAACACAAAATCCAAATAGAGGTAAGCTACTCTGGACACCCAGCTTAAGGAGCACCTAGAAAAAAAATGATACATTATATCAGCGATACAAAGATAAAAGGTTAAAGCAAGTTTGCCATCAGAAATAATATGATCAAGAAGATAGTGAGGCAACAGAGAAGTACTGAAAGGAAAGGAAAATTGTAGTCCTAACCCCTACACCCAGTAAAAATATCTTTCAAGATAAATGTGCAATAAAGGCTTTTTTCAGACACACTGAAATGGAACGAATTCATCACCATCAGATCTGCATTATAAAAAATGCTAAAGGAAGTCCTTCAGGCAAAAAGAAAAGATGGTAGATTGAAATCTGGTTCCACACAAAGAAATGAAGTTTAACTAAAAGGGTAAATATTTATTGGCTGATTAGAGTAAAAATAATCATCATGTAGTGTGAGGTTTATAACATTGGCAGAAATAAAATGTGTGACACTAGCACCAATTTGAGGAAGGGGGAGATTTGTAAGGACACAGTTGTAATATTTGTCTACTACATGTGAAGTGGTGATTTGTCAGTTAGAGGTATAATATCAGTTCTATTATAATACATTAAAGACCTATATTCTAAGTCCTAAAGCCACCACAAAAATAATAAAAGAAGTTACAGTTAATAAGCTACAATAATCAAGCCAATGGAGTATTAGTGTAAAGACAGAAAAATAGACTAACGGAACAGAAGACATCAACACATATACGGACAACCAATTTTTCACAAAGGTACAAAAACAGTTCTGTGGAGAAAGAGTAATCTTTCCGGTAAGTTGTGCTGGAACAATGTGATAGCTATATGCCCCCCTCCCTCAAAAAAGCAACTTTAATCCATATCTCACATGATTCAAAAGTCAATTCAAAATGAATCATCAGTCCAGATTCCAACCTCAAGCTATGAAACTTTCAGAAGAGAACATGGAAAAAAAATTTTTGTGACACTGGGTTTGGTAAGAATTTCTTAGATGCACCACCAAAAGCATGATCTATAAAAGAACAAACTGATAAATCTGACTTTTATCAAGATTGAAAATGTCTATTCTTCAAATGAAAGATAAAAAGATAACAATGAAAGATAAAAGATAACAAAAGACAAGCCATAGACTGAGAGAGTATATTTGACAATCATCCAGCTGATAAAGGACTGGTATACAGAAGATATAAAGAACTCTCAAAATTCAATAATAATATTTTAAAAATCCAATTAAAAATGGGCCAAAATTTCAATAGTCACTTCTCCATAGAACTTCTTATAGAAGACATATGAATGAAAAGAAGCTCAACATCATTAGTCATTCAGGATGCAAATTAAAACCACAATGAGATACTAATATCCACATATTAGAATGGTCAAAATTTAAAAGACTCCTTATATCAAGTATTGAATTCAAAGAAATGGAAAGATATCCAATGCGCTTGGATTGGAAGAATTAATATTGTTAAAATGGCCATACTACCCAAAGCAATCTACAGATTTAACACAATCCCTATCAAATTACCCATGACATTTTTCAGAGAACTAGAACAAATAATCCTAAAATTTACACAGAACTACAAACGCAATCCTGAGGAAAAAGAACAAAGCTGCAGACATAATCCTCCCAGACTTCAGACCGTACTACAAAGCCACAGTAATCAAAACAGCATGGTATTGACACAGAAGCAGACATGTGGATCAATGGAACAGAATAGAGAGCCCAGAAATAAACTTACACACTATGGTCAATTAATCTTCTACAAAGGAGGCAAGAATATACAATGGAGAAAAGACAATCTCTTCAGCAAGTGGTGTTGGGAAAGCTGGACAGCCACATGTGAATCAATGAAGTTAGAACACTCCCTCAAACCATATACAAAAATAAACTCAAAATGGCTTAAAGACATAAATGTAAGCTGTAACACCATAAAATTCCTAGAAGAGAACATAGGTAGAATGCTCTATGACACAAATCATAGTTATTTTCTTAGGTCAGTCTCCCAAGGCAATAGAAAATAAAAGCAAAAATAAACAAATGGGACCTAATCAAACTTATGAGCTTTTGCACAGCAAAGGAAATCATAAACAAAATGAAAAGACAACCTAGAAAATATCTGCAAATGATGCAGCCAACAAGGGCTTAATTTCCAAAATACACAAACAGCTCATAGAACTCAGTAGCTAAAAAACAAACAATCCAGTCGAAAAATGGGCAGAAGATCTAAACAGACATTTCTCCAAAGAAGATACTCAGATAGCCAATAGGTGCATAAAAAGCTGTCCAACATTGTTAATCATTAGAGAAATGCAAATCAAAACTACTATGAGGTATCAACTCACACCAGTCAGAACGGCCATGATCAAAATCCTACAAATAATAAATGTTGGAGAGGGTGTGGAGAAAAGGGAACCCTCCTATACTGTTGGTGGGAATGTAAATTGGTTCAGCCACTATAGAAAACAGTAAGGAAGTTACTTAAAAAACTAAAAATAGAGTTAACATATGACCCAGCAATCCCACTCCTGGACATACATCCAGAAAAGATGAAAATACTATTTTTATTTTAGAAAATATATATGCACCCTAATGTTTATAGCAGCACTATTTATAACAGCCAAGACATGGATGCAACCTCAGTGTCCATCAATAGATTAATGGATAAACAAGATGTGAGATATATACATAGATAAATATAAATATATATATATATATATATATAATTTAATATTACTCAGCCATAAAAAGAATGAAATAATGACATTTGTAGCAACATGGATGGACCTAGAGATTATTATACTAAGTGAAGTAAGTCAGATAAAGACAAATATTAATGATATCACTTATATGTGGAATCTTTAACAATGATACAAATGAACTTATTTACAAAACAGAAACAGACTCACAGACATAGAAAACAATCTTATGATTACCAAAGGGGGAGGGGGGGAGGGATAAACTAGAAGCTTGGGATTAACACACACTACTATACATAAAATGGATAAACAATAAGGATCTACTGTATAGCACAAGGAACTATATTCAATATCTTATAATATAGCCTGTAATGGGAAAGAATCTGAAAAAGAATATATATGTGTGTGTGTATAACTGAATCACTTTGCTGTATGACTGAAACTAACACAGCACTGTAAATCAACTATATAACAACAAAAAATTTTAAATATCATATACTGAAGATATTTGGAGGAACTGGAACTCTAATGCACTGCTGGTAGGAATGTAAAAAAGATACAACTTTGGAAAACAGTTTGGCAATTTCTTAAGTTATTAAACATACATCTATTATATGATTTACACATTCCAATCCCAGGTTTTCATTCAGGAGAAATGAAAGCATATGTTCTCCCAAAGATCTGTACAGAAACAAGTAACGAGACTTGTAACAGCTTTCTTTGGAAGAGCCAAAAAACTGTAATCAATTAATATGTCTACCAACAGATGAATGGCTAAAAAAAAAAGTGTGGTGTATCCATATAATGGAATGCTACTCAGCAATGAAAAGGAATGGACTATCAGGTCTGTGGGGTTTTACCTAATGAAGTGAACCCCAGTAAGATTCCCAAGAAGCTGTGTGGTCTTGTAAGAGAATTATAGTAGGAGAAACACTGCTAGCTTAGACTGAAAGTACAAAACAAAACAAAGCCACTGGACTCACAACATTCGTGCTGAATGGAAACATGCTGAAAACACTACTCAGCTGCACAGATGTGCAACCTTTCATGAAAAAGGGAGGGTGACTCAGAGGGCAGAACCAGGTGCCCAGAGGGCAGGGCCAAGACCCATAGAGATTTTACTCCTGAGTTTGAAGTGATAGGGGGAATAAGCCCACAATGAGGGGGAGGGGAAGAGATGGTCAAAGAGTGGGATCCTTGAGCCTGAGATCATAGAAAGAGTACAATTATCAGTGATGACAAGGCCTAGAGTATGTCCATGAGAACGGGTGAACTAGGTGGGTGAAAAAAACAAGAAGAGTGAAAGAAAATGCTGTGGTGTAATAAATACAGGGACAAGTGGAAACACATACCCAAAAAATCTGCCTAGATTACGAGGGAGAGAGAAGAATGGGCCAGATAGAGTGAACAGCGTTTGCAAAGGCCCAGAGTCACATGTAGACATCGGAGGACTTCAAAGTTATGTGTGGTTGGGTTGGGAAGCCGGGGAATGATGGGACATCAATGTGGATGAATAAGGTAAGGCTCCTCCAGGGAATCTGCACTTTTGTAAGTGCTAACACCTGGTTTATTTAGTCTCTTCACTATTATTCCTGCCAGCATCCTTGCTAATTTCAGTATCCACCTGGATGTTTTTCAATTTCTAGAAAGCTTTACTTTCACGCTTCTGGTAATCTATACAAACATTACCCCCCAAAAAACTACTTTACTAATCCCAAATGATTTTAATTCCAGGTAGTATCCCAGACTAGTCTCATCCTAAGAACCGCCTGGAGCCTGGTTAAAATTAGATTCCTAGACCTTCCATGGAGAATTCAGCAGTAAAGCTTTCAAGAAATTGAAAATCATCCAGGACACTGAAATTAGCAAGGATGTATTTTCTTTCCTTAAAAAATTTTATTGAAGTATAGTTGACTTACAATGTTGTGTTAGTAACAGGTGTACAGCAAAGTGATCCAGATATATATATTCTTTTTCAGAGTCTTTTCCATTATGGGCTATTACAAGATATTGAATATAGTTCCCTGTGCTATATAATAGTTCCTTGTTGTTTATTTTTATATATAGTAATGTGTATCTGTTAATACCAAATTTCCAATTTATCCCTCCCCACTCTTTCCCCTTTGGTAACCATAGTTTGTTTTCTATGTCTGTGAGTCTATTTCTGGTAGCATATTTGTACATTCTCTCTCCTTCGGAGTCTCTGACAAACATTAACATCTGAGCTCAAACAGTGC